ATAGTTGTAAAATAATTTACCTTCACATGGTCATGTAGACAACATAAATAGAATAGAATGCAAGAGCTGCAATTAGAATGACATGATCAACCAAATTCGTAACACTTTATATCGAGATCCTAATGTCTGATCCCCAATTATAAGGGCATTTAATCTAAACAGCACAAAACAATAATGAATGCCCAACATCTACAAGAATAAAACAAAGACTCAATTTTTAAAAGATTACTGCTTCATTCACATCACAATGGTCTCAATGGAAGTGAATTACTCATAATTGCTACTAAAATCATAAATTCCATCCACAATATCTGTAGAAAGGATGAAAACCACAAAGATCCATCTTCATATTGCCATCAAATCCCCATAGTTGCGCATCAGAAAAACTGATCCCGCAAATAGTGCAGTGGCACGCAGCAGTTTCTACATCAACAGATAAAATTAAAGAGAACAATTAAGCAAAATTAGACTCTATAAAATCTATATAACAAGATTAGAACAACATAAATAAATTCTAAATACTGAATCCATATATTTGGAGTCGAGTCGAGTCGAGAAATCACTCAATTTGATGGAACAGGAAATCCCTAGGATACGAAATTGATGGATTAAATGGAAATCGAGAGGATTGAAGAGAACCCTTACCACGTTAACGGCCCACTTCTCCTCGTCGTGAACCATAGAATGCCAGAAGGACTTCACCTTCTCGAGAGAGATCGTGGAGTTCGCCATGGATGCTCGATTACTGTTCTTCCCGAAATTAGGGTTTTTGTTGGGTAGAATTAGGGTTTTGCAGTTTGTGAGATTGAGAGAGTGGAATAAAATGAGAAAAATAAATTGTTTACCTTAAAGTTAGATCTAACGGTTTAAAATTAAGTTGATCAAATCTAACGGTTTATATTACATTACAATGATATATAAAGTAAAAAATTAAAAATTAAAAATTTATATTTAATGGGCTGCATTTTACTGAGCCTGCTCTTTGGTTTTGCGGTTTTTGGGCCTCGATTTTCAACCCACAATCTGATATCTTCCAGCCCGAAACAACATGAGCCGAACCAACAGTTTCTGTTTTGAACCGCATGAGCCCAGCCCAAACCCCATCACTCTTTCCCGTTAACCTCCGATCCACAAGATAGTAGCATGTTTAATTTAATTAATTAAATTTAAATAATTTTTTATTAATTTTTATATAAATTAATTAAAAAAATATTTATTACACATTTAATTTGTAACTTAAAAATAATACAAATAAAAAAATCTTTTTTTCTTACAATAGTTAAGAGTCAGACGTGGCAACAGTCCATGCTGTCTGTCACAGAAAGTCAGAAGCGTTACAGGTGATTTTATCAACGATACAGGATTTGCCTACGTGGCGTTATTCAGCAGAGCTTTTTGTCGAACGTTGAAAATATTCAAAACTTTCGTCAATCTAACGGTTGATGATCTGCCACGTCAATATTCCGAAAGGTCCCACTGCCACGTCTACAAACGGTGCCTTCTCCCTCCTTTCTCTTGCAATCCCTACTTCTCAGAGGCAAATAAAGCTCGTCGATTTCAACACCGAGTCCACTCAGCTTCTCCATCACTGTCCGAACCGAGTCCACTCAACGATTTCGGTGCAACTGCTAAAACTTCCGGTATAGACCAACCGAAGGCCACCATGTATGCACCGGAAGGGAGGGAGATGATGGTAGACAGTATACCACCCCACCAGCAGCACCAACTGATGCTCGCCGACAGCAGCGGGGGCGAGGATCAGGAGGTTAAAGCTCCGAAGAAGCGGGCAGAGACGTGGGTACAAGACGAGACCCGGACGCTGATCTCGCTCCGGCGAGAAGTCGATGGCCTGTTCAATACCTCCAAGTCAAACAAGCACTTGTGGGAGCAGATCTCCGGTAAGATGAGAGACAGAGGGTTCGACCGGTCACCCACCATGTGTACGGATAAGTGGAGGAATCTGTTGAAGGAGTTCAAGAAAGCGAGGTATCAAAGGGAGAGTGGAGGTGGGCCACTGAAGATGTCTTGTTACATGGAGATCGAGGAGTTGCTAAGATGTAGAACCAAACAAACTGCTGCTAATAGTCCCAACTACAAGAATCAGCCTCTTCCTTCTTGTGTGAGTTTCTCTGAAAAAGGTGAGTGACATTTCTTCTTCAGTGAGGATTACTTGATTTCATGTTCTTGGCCCCAAGACAGAAGTGGGATCCTTAAGTTCTTAACAGTTAATTGCCTGAACAATTTCTTGTACCATGTTAGATGGGTTTGACTTGTAATCATCTGGGTTTTATTGCGTTGGTGAAGAACACAGGAGATTACGTTTTTTGATTGTGATTTTTTAAGCTTCACATGAATAAGAAAAGAATTGGTTTCTGTTCCTTTTTTTTTGTTTAATTTTTGGATTGAGAGAGTGATAATTTTTCATGCTTGAAATCGAAATCTTTGCATCCAAATGTTAGTGGATACCTTCCTCTACTTTGAATTCATTGGTTTCAGTTTCACAAATATGTGATTGGCTAATGTCCTTTTTCCAGGTTTTGAGGATATTAATATCCCATTTGGATCTATTGAAGGTATCTTCTTTCAATCTAACATGTATTGCCTGCACTTTAGTTTTCTATTATGTTTATTTTCAACTTAAAGCATGATAAATTTTACAGTATTAAAACTTGGTAAGTTCATTATGTTCTTTGTTTGTAGATTGGTTGTTGTACTCTGTGTCCAACAGTGTAAAATAAATCATCAAGAAAGGTTATACTTTAGTGCCGGTCTAGGTGTTGGTTACTCATGACACCTTTAACAAATCTATGTTCTGACCTCTTGTAAATTCCTAAATTTATGTTTTTATCTTGTTTTTTATCTTACAGTTTGCTTAGCTGAGTATATGCCCTAGCTGTCAGTATGGCCAGAGAGTGTTGTCTGGGTGTAAAGGAACAGTAGTTACTTGTGTATTTAAGATCCAATGAAATATCAACCTCTAGATGCTGAAAGATTTAAATGTGTATATTGTACGGTGAGGCCAGACTTTTCAAAACGCATCCAACTATTGTTTGGATGTTTAGTAGTAGTGGTTATTACTCATGGACTTGGTGCATGGTTGAGCATCCCAATCTCTATTCTATGCTTTCAGCTCCATATTATTACTGAAAAGATTCAGTGGAAGTCCTTCCATTTATCAAATGGAGATTCCTAGAAGTTGATGTTTCTTGGTTTATTTTTTGCTTCTACCTTATGATGGAATGATTGCCCTTTTCTCATTGCAATGTGGAGCTTACAAAGTGGTAGATTTCTTTCCTTGTTTAATGGATTCTCTGCCTTAAGATTCTAAGGAACGCTTCATCATTTGTTTTACAGCTACTGATAGATCAACAGTCAACCTGGAACAGCGGTTAGATCATGATGGTGATCCTCTAGCCATTACCAGTACTACCGATGCAGTGGGAGGTGATGGAGTTTCCCCATGGAGTTGGAGAGATACATCTGGAAATGGTAAGTTCCTCTCCAAAAGCAATCGTGAAGCGTGAAAGGTTTTCTCTGGAGTCTAAATGCTTGCTGTTGAAGGATGTCTTCTGTTTTTCTTTCTTGTTTGGCCAATTTTGAAGGATGTCTTTCTGAATCTCAATTTTCAGTCCTTTAGGCTAGCTTGCTATAGCTTGACATCAAGGAAATTGTTGCAGTTTGATTTCATTATCTGCAACATGAGGTCATATTGAGCTATTTCCTTTCTCATATTTTTTATTCTCTTGAATTTTATTCTCTATGTATGCCTTTATATGGTAATGATCGAGATTTTTTTATTTTATACATGTATGGAAATTTTTATCTTGTCAAGGTTATGAATATGCTTGAAGCTTAATAACCCTCTTCTGACAGGAGGGGAGGACCACTCTTCTTATTGTGGGAGGGTTATATCAGTCAAATATGGGGACTTCACTAAAAGGATCGGCATTGATGGAGCTCCAGATGCGATAAAAGAAGCAATCAAGTCTGCATTCGGGTTAAGAACAAAGCGAGCATTTTGGTTAGAGGATGCAGAGCAGGTTGTCCGGAGTCTGGATAGGGACATGCCTTTAGGAAACTACACTCTTCAACTCGACGAAGGTATTTCACGTCTTCAAACAATCATTTCTTACAATGAAACTGGGAAACCTTACTCTCCAATATTGTAACAATCTCTCTTGTCTGCAGGAATCACCATAAAACTATGTCTTTACAGTGAAACTGAGCGCATAGCTGTTGGCACTGAGGATAAAACATTGTACACAGAAGATGATCTTCGTGATTTCCTTAGTCGCCGTGGGTGGACAGGTCTGAGAGAGTTGAATGGATACAGATGCATTGATACTCTAGATGATCTCCAATCTGGTGCCGTGTACCAGGGGGTGAGACTTCTGGGCGGCTGAAAGCCTGAAACTTGTTTTTGTTTGATTTCATAGCTTTGAACCATAAGTTCACTGCAATGTCATATATTGTACAGTTGTATCGTTGTGAATTTGTGATACCATTGAATTTTGGTTTAATGTTACTGTATTTATATGGTTTTAAGGTTTATACATAGTGAGCTTGTATTTAAATTTATCAATACAAGACCTATTATATTGTATTTAAATATAATATTATATTTATAACTTTGATTGCGTTGATCTGAATGCATCATAGTCTTGACAACTGTCAGAGTTCTAACCGTTACAATAGCAACCTACTTAATAGCTATTTCTCTTTCTCCAATTCTCCCGTGTTCAAAAATAAATAAATAAATAAAATATGATATTACATTAAATGAATAAATATATATAATATTATTGATAAATTATCAAATGAAAAAATTAATTATATTAATTATTTAATAATACATTATATCATAAGTTTATAACGTTACATAATATATAACTATAATATTTCTATATTTTTTACTTTAATTTTATTATATAATCGGGAAAAAAAATCAAGGAAATTAAATTGGAAAATACTATAAAAACCTTTTTTTTTTTTTTTACCGATTCTGATGTTATCAACTAACCCGGTCATCCCGTCCCGTGAATCAGCAACAATCACGTGACGTGGCCAACCGGAAAAGCGTTCTCTCGTAATCAACGGTCATAAACGTTTTTCTCCCCCTTTCACGGTCCCCACGTCTAGGGTACTATAATAAAAGCTCCTCCACTTCCCTCTCTTTTCCGTGCGCTGCACTGAACTGCTTTGCTTCGGCTCTGAATCTCTACTCCTCAGTCTTCACTCCGCCGGCGATCGCATCTTACCATGGCCAAGATCAAGATCGGAATCAATGGTACACAACGCCGCTGCTTCCTTCGTGTCTCTTTCATCTCCGTCTGATTTTGTTTCATGCGTGTACTTGTTAATTTAATTCCCTGTTTTATGTTAAGGATTTGGAAGGATCGGACGTTTGGTGGCCAGAGTTGCGCTGCAGAGAGACGACGTGGAGCTCGTCGCCGTTAACGATCCTTTCATCACCACCGATTACATGGTGCTTACAGCATTTTTTTTTTTTTTAAATGATTGATGAACAGCATGAAATAAGATGTTTGTTTGTTGTATTGCACAGACATACATGTTTAAGTATGACAGCGTTCACGGAAACTGGAAGCACCATGAGATTAAGGTGAAGGATTCCAAGACCCTTCTTTTTGGTGATAAGCCTGTTGCTGTTTTTGAGGTCAGGTATTGTTTGCTTCATCAACTTCTACGGAATTCTGATCTTTGTTAGATTGGAAATGTGTTCATGATTTCTTTTTTTCTTTTGGGTATAAATTTAGAAACCCCGAGGAGATTCCATGGGGTGAGACTGGCGCTGAATTTGTGGTTGAGTCCACTGGTGTTTTCACCGACCAAGACAAGGCTGCTGCTCACTTGAAGGTTTGTGATGATAATTTGATCCCATATGTATTAAATGATCAATTGTACAGATGTTTTCTGTAATGGAAATTGTTTGTAAGTTAAATTACAGTAATGCTAGCTCTTAGTTATTGTTATTATTTTTTTGGTAAATTAAAAGGTTAATTGCTTCATATTATAGAGGTTTGAACCTCTGATCTTAATGCCAAATCAAGTTAAGGTTTTTAAATAAGTGGATATCAATTTTGTCAAACTCTTGTTAGTACTAGCTTTTAGCCTATATTTGAATAAAAATTAGTAAAGGAAAGGAAGGGAAGAGGAGGAGAAGGAGAGGGAGGATAGACAAAAGTGAAGGAAGGGAAAGGATAATATTTTTATTTAATTATATAATTTAATAAAAATAAAATAAAGAAGAATAAAATTTTTAAAATTTATTAATTAAATAAATAGTTAAAATAAAATATTTATATATATTTAAAAAAATTAAAAATAAAAATAAATTAAGTAACATAATCCGTTTTAATCCCTCCAAATCAAAAGAATTGAAAACAAAGGAGGGGAAGGGACTCCGTCTCCCTTCATCTCCCTCTCCATTGTTAAAAGTATCTATCCAAATAGGAGAAGGTGCTATCTCCCCCTAACTCTCCTCTCCTTTTCCTCCAACTTCCTCAATCCAAACAAAGTGTTAGTTATGGGACCATAGAATAAATCCTTATTTTTCTTCTACAATGAAGATGTCTGAGTCTCTGAGATATGTGCTTGGAAGCTATTTTCTACTTTCATGGTTTGTATACTTAGGTGTTATTGTGTCTCTCAGGGTGGTGCCAAGAAGGTAATCATTTCTGCCCCTAGTAAGGATGCTCCCATGTTTGTAGTTGGTGTCAATGAGAAGGAATACAAACCAGATCTCAACATTGTCTCCAATGCCAGCTGCACTACCAACTGTCTTGCCCCATTGGCTAAGGTAATGACTCTTTTCCTTTGACTTTTCAGCATTGGGAATAACTTTTATGATTGGGGTTGTGAACGATGACTAACCTATAGAGAAATTGACAGGTTATCCATGACAAATTTGGTATTGTTGAGGGTCTTATGACTACTGTCCATTCTATTACTGGTAAGTAGTCTGCTGGATATATATCTTACTTTCTGCTTTCAAATCCTTAATGCTGGCTGACTCATCTGTCTTTTTAATCTAGCTACCCAAAAGACGGTTGATGGGCCATCAATGAAGGACTGGAGAGGCGGTAGAGCTGCTTCCTTCAACATCATTCCCAGCAGCACTGGAGCTGCAAAGGTAGATCTCAACAGGAAATTGATGAAAGTTCTCTAGTACCTACCTATCCCCTAATAAACATTTGTCAACTTTTATGCTCTGCCTTGATCTTAATTGAGTAAATGGTTGAATCATGCAATCTAGAAACCGACATTAGTGTCATCTTTTAATTGTCTAGGCGGTTGGAAAAGTTTTGCCATCATTGAATGGGAAGTTGACTGGAATGGCTTTCCGTGTTCCCACTGTTGATGTTTCCGTGGTTGATCTCACTGTGAGACTTGAGAAGAAAGCTACTTACGATGATATCAAGAACGCTATCAAGTAAGGCTTGAGATGCATGTTTGGCGTCTCTTAATTGATACTTTCATTAGTGAACTAGTGATACATACTAAATGAAAGCGTTGGTCATGGTTTAGGGAGGCATCTCAAGGGGCCATGAAAGGAATTCTTGGTTACACAGAAGATGATGTTGTCTCGACTGATTTTGTGGGTGACAGCAGGTAAGGAACCTTGATGCCTTTGTTTATTGACAATTCATTATAGTTTGCATGTCTTGTGTATATTCATTTTTTCCTTCAGTCAGATTCTGGCCACTTTTCAATCTCTGCCTACTTTTTAAAGCTTGGAACATTTTTAACAACCTTGCCTCGTGATTCATTATCTTGCTGGACTGAAGTTGCCGCATACTCCTGGTCACTGAACAGGTCAAGCATTTTTGATGCCAAGGCTGGGATTGCTTTGAATGACAATTTTGTGAAGCTTGTCTCATGGTATGACAATGAATGGGGTTACAGGTAAGATACATTTCTCATCCCTGTACAATTCTACTCCATGCCTTCAAAATTACTGAAGGCTCTATTGTAATGATCATTTGTTTGGACTGCAGCTCACGCGTTGTTGACTTGATCTGCCACATGGCTTCACTTAAATGAGTGATTTTGGGGTTGTGTAACTCCATTGGCGTAGCATGAAGTTTAGTAGCAGTACGTTTTCATTTTTAAGGTTAAAGAAGTAGAGGGAATAATGCATTTTGAACATTTTTAAGTTATGCTTGTTTTCAAATTTCAGTGATGACCTCTCTATTTATTCAAGGTTCAAACAACTGAGTCTACATAAAAACACCAACTAAACTAAACCCCCCACCATAGCTACCAAATTGCAAATATAAAGAGTATTTGTTAAAGAAAAAACATGTGAGTGTGCCTAAATAATGAACACTGCAAAATGGAACACATTCAAGAGATGCTGTATTTACCAAGTTGAGCATTTTATATCAATATACCATTACCTGCATTTAGAAGAAGGATCTCTTATAAATACAGACTCAAGATTTCCTGCTGCAGTCTACAAAAATCCCACCCAAAAGCCATAGACTAGGATTTACAAGGGCAAATACTACTAAACCAAGACACTGGGATTTATATGGAATTTCATTGTCATCCTTCAAACTAGTAACTTACCTACTTCAGTGCTTGTGTAATTTGACAGCAGCAAAAGGGTTCTGCAAACTTGAAGCACCAAAAAGAAGTTTTCTTGCAAATTCATCAACATCTACCCATCAAGCCTGTAATGTACTATTACAACTGAGAGAAACAAGACCATCACTACCGAGATAAGGAAGGCTTTCTCAACAATTCCAAACCTCTCAACCTGTACCGTGGTCCTTCTACTTTCCAATTCCAAACCTCCCAACTGAAATGTAGTATCATTACCAGGAGAAACAAGACTTTCCCAACAAACATAGCTCGCCCTGTAACCACTCCCAAGTGGAGGCATCCCCCTCAGCTGCACCATCACTCTGGTTTTCTTTTCAATGTTATACCAAAAGACCTCATTGTGTGTACAAATAAGAACACAATCTCCCTCCTTTGAATATGCCAGCGGCACAGACAATGTATTCTGCCAACCCCATAGTTGCTGAAACGTGAAAGCTCTCCTCCAATTACCTCCAGTTCCAATGTCATCACGATTGAATAGAAAGAAGTCCTGAGTGTCTGGAAATTTATCCATATTATCTGTATGAACAAACCCACCTAACTCCTTCAGCTGATAACATGAAAAGCGCTCCACGCTGCCATCATCAGACAAGCAATAATCCGGCAACCTAAACAACATTTCATTTGCAAGATCAAATCCAAAAATCTCAAAATCACCATCCACGCGAAATACCCAATACAAAGCACCGTTTGCAAAACAACCCCCACCCCAACACTCAATGGATTCAACATATGTAGGAAGGTCATGAATCCTTCTCCAACTCCAACAATTTGATTTCAAACTAAAAACCCAAACTTGAAAACACTCACTGTATTTCGTCGGAACCAGCGACATCACCACCACCTTGTAATCGTCTATGGTAGAATCATAACCCAGACCGTCACATAAGAATTTATGACAGGGAAGGTTTGTAAGGGGAGAGAGCGGTAATTTTCGATTCCGTCGAGTGGTCGGATTCCAAACAACATATTCCTCGCTGCTTCTTGGATTGACTGTGCCCAATAGAAGTAAACCATCACAAGAACCGCAGACACCGGCGTACTGAGTTGGTGGTCTCAATGGGTTGTCGAGTCTGACGACTTCTTTGAGTCCTTCCTCGAAATCCGCCGCGTAGAAGTCGATCGGACCATCATCTCCACAGAGGTGGGGGAGGATTAACTTGCGGCCGATGTTGGTGTCCTTGGACATTTTAAGGCGCATCCTGACGAAACCGGGACTGTCAATCTGGGCACAGAATGATTTGGAAAGGCATCTGAATCGCAAGAGAGACTTCACCGGCAGAGTGGGAAGAATTTCAGTGAATAACTCCGGCAGGACGTGAGACATTTTTCCGGGAGCTGTGAAGAAAGCGAAGGGAGATTAAGCTTAAGCTTAAGCGCAAGAGGAGAAAAGACAAAATATTTGAAGAGGTTATCCATGGCGGGGATATGGGTTGAAACTTGAAGAAGAAGATTTATTGGTTGCTCGGGTC